TTGCAACTTGGTCCAGGCTCTGCAGTCCCGCCTCTGAGTAGTGTGTTTTTGACCACTACTTCCTGAGGTTGTCTTTCTGTCACAATTGACAGTGAACAAAGTTCACCTCTCAAGCAGGTAGCAGCAGTCTTTCTGTGTTCTTGCCAAACCAAGCATTGCTTACCCATGTAATTGCGTATTTTTAATTTTTAAAACATTTGTGTTTGTTCAGTTCAATTCCATTAATCAGCATATCTGCTTTTATGACACTACCATGCTGTTATTATTATTACAGCTCTGTAGTACAGCTTGAAATCAGAGATGGTGATACCTCTGGAAGTTTTTTCCTTTTTTTTTTTTTTATTGCGCAGGATTGCTTTAGCTATCCTGGGTTTTTTTGTTTTTCCATATGAAGCTGAGAATTGTCCTTTCAAAGTCTGCAAAGAATTATGTTGGAATTTTAATGGGGATTGCATTGAACCTGTTGATTGCTTTTGGTAAAATGGCCATTTTTGCTATGTTAATCCTACTGATCCATGAACATAGGAGATCGATCCAGCTTCTGATACCTTCTTCTTTGAAGTTCACTTTTATAGTGTTAGTGGCTATTGTGAAGGGTGTTATTTCCCTGATTTCTTTCTCAATCTGTTTGTCATTTGTGTGTAGAAGGGCAACTGATGTCTTATATCCAGCTACAGTTTATCAGCTGTCAGAATTTCCTGGTAGAATTTTTGGGGTCACTTATGTATATTATCATATCATCTACAAATAATGATACCTTGACTTTTTCCTTTCCAATTTGTATCCCTTTCATCTTCATGTGTGCAGTGGAGATGTGTTAAATGAGAGAAGAATAAATAAAAAGAAAAAAAGAAGGAAAAAATAGGTATGTTAAGGCATATAACATGATATAGAATAGCTAACCTAAACAAAACATATGTGATTACTTTTCACACATTTGCTATATTTTGTGGTAAAATTAATTAAGTCTATCTTATGTGCTTTCCATATATGCCATTCATTAACTGTAGTCTCCATCTTGTACAATGTATCTCAGATTATTTCTCATGTCTAGCTGAACTTGGTATCCTTTAATGAACACATCCCTACCACCATCTCCCTTCCTGGTAACTACCATTCTTCCCATTTTCTGAAAAAGAGGGCCTGGACACATTCTTAATTTTTCTTTTATTCTCTCATGTTTCATGCTTTCTTCTGAGATCCCTTACAGCTCTGAACACATATTTGGAAACATGTTGAGTAGATCCCCTCAAGTTAAAGATGACTACATCAACCTGGATGTGTCATTGGAGATGGATGTTGTGAGCTCTAGGGAATGAGTGGTCTGTATTCAAATGACATGGCTCACTGAAAGTGATGGGGACCTCTCTGCCAGTGCTGCTTCAAGCCATCCTCACATTTCAGGGACACCAAAAACAAACAAATGCATGACTAGAGAAAGATAATTTAAGGTTTCTGTCACTCTGAGTAGTAAAAAGTTTGTTAGATGATAAAGATTTTGATAAGAAAATGGGAGTACTTTTCCTCAGAAAACCCTAGTACCTCTAATGGGATTCAGGTGAAAGGAGTTTCCTCATCTGTTCCATAGATTATAGTAGCAGTGGTTTTCTTTTGGATGCTGACCAAAGGGACCAGAGAGCACCTGAGTAGGGCTCCCTCTGCAAGTTCCATGGCGTCATAAGGGGTCTGAAGGGCAGAGTGTGGAATTGTGTCATCTTAAAGATTATGGCTGTAGCTAACTATTTTGTCTTTCATCTTCCCTGCCTTCTCCCTCTCACCATCTCCATAAAGATTGATGAAGTTTACTTTCACTTCCTTTCCTGTGTTGAAATCAGTTAAGAAGTCTTGTGGAGAGGGGGGAAAGGAGAGAATGCAGTCCATGGAGTAGCATGATACCATTTAGATTATCTGTGGTATGTTCATTGTAGGTTAGGCAACAAAACTTAACGAACTAAACTTTAAATATGGTCTACCTAGAAAATAACTTGCAAATTTTAGTCTATTTTATGTGGGAAATTTTTAAATTTTTCTGCGACCCCCAGAGGGGACCCCCCCCGACCCGCGGGGATGAGGTGATGAGGGTCGCTACTAATTTGGTGGGCCTTCACGAGCAGATCCGATCTGAAAAGTAAACTTCAAGAGGTTAAAGGAAACAAGCTCAAGACAACGTTCGCTGATCAAGAGCATTTATTTTTGGGGCAAGCTAGAACTTATAGAGGAAGAACCTCAGGGGGTGGTACAAGCATGTCAATCAAGTCTCAACTCAAATATACACCAAATACGGTAAAGACAAAGCTATAATTTTCCATCAGTCATCAGTCGCATTCCACAAATGCTTGTAAGCATAAGTCAGGTGTAGGAATTAGGGAGGGGTAGGAAGTATTCAAAGGAACATTTTAACCTTTTGTTAACAAAGACAATTGCTCTGTAAGGGTTACTTCCCCCTGGCTAGGCGGGTGGGCTGCCCTGTGTAAATTTTACTTTTATGGTTAGCCTTTTCCTTTGTCTCAAGGGCATGTGTGCTCGCAGTCACGTAGGCAGAAGGCCAAGAAAATGGTTGACAGACTCCATTTCGTTCAAGGTTCTAGCAGTCCCCAACATTTTTCAGTTTGTAATAATTTTAAATATTTAAAAAAATAACCATTGAAAATTCTCATTCCCACAACCAGACTCCAGCTCCATCCCATCTCCTTCAGATACCTGTTGGGCTTTTGTGAGACTACAAGCTAAAGTATACAATGAGAATATGCAGTTCTTATATAGAGGCTAATGTGGTAAATACTACCAAAAACACATTAATCTTCACTCCCTTTTTTTTACTTAACCTTGTGAACTGGGATCTTTTCATACCCATGTAGGCAAAGCTTTCACATTTGGAGGGCAGAGAGGGGTACACAACATTCCAGTATGTGGTATACCACAGTTTGTTTATTTTCACCTAAATGGTAAGCATTAAGGTTGTTTCCTACTTTTAGCTTTGGGAAGTCTTTCCCAGAAGTGGCGCTTGTGGGTGAAAAGGAAACACACGCATAGTTTTGAATGATACTGCCACATTCGTTCTGTGTCATGTTTCCCTGTGTCAGCGCCTTGTAAAGATACCTTCTTCCCTGTGCTCACGCTAATACGCAATGTTTTCACACTTCGGGGTTTGGCTATCACACAGTCTCAAAAACTGGAATGTCAGGGTACTTTTCTTTGTATTTGTCTTACTATGAAATTGAGATTTTTTTCTTATATTTAATGAACATTTTATTTCTCTCTTTCTAGATACTCTTTTCCTGGCTTTGACTCCTTTTCTACTAAGATCCGTGGGTCTTTCACCTTATTTCTAGAAAGCATTTGTGATACAAATTAAAATGCATCTTTCTAGTTGTTTCTCTTCTATCTTGATTTTCTTTTTCTTCTCTTTTCTGGGAAAACATTACAAGTAGCCCTTGTTTTACATATCATTGTGAAACTATAAAAATGACCATGTAAGAAAACAATACAAGTTATTCTTAACTAGTTTGTATCTTCTGGAAAGTTCTGTCAAAATATTAACAACTCTTACTGTTATTTGTAAATATGTGTGGAAATGAAAATCAAGGAAACTAAGGTCTAAAATGTATTCAGTAGCTGGAACCTTGGATGGCTAAAGTGCATTGTTTCCTTTAGAACTAGTAAAACGCGTTTGAATGGTGCTTGCTGGCTTCATGTTGTATACTTTGTGGATCCACATGAGTATCTTTTCTGTACTTGGCAAACTTGTGCTTCTGCCTTGTAGTCAGTTGTGATCATTTTAGCCTTCTTTTCCCATTGCTATAAAATAGCTCCAGGAGTTCCCAGCATTACTTGCTCTGGTGATCCATCCCCATTCATCCCTGCTCTCTGTCCTATTATAGACAATTTCTGGGTTTATATTAAGAAGTTCTATTTTGGTTATGTATGTTTTTGAAATGGCAGTGTCAAAATTGTCATGGTCATGTATTTCTTCCATAAGATATTTACATTCAGTTCAGATTTCACTTCTGGTGTCATCTCATTTAGTTTTGTTCCTGTATTTTATCTATATTAGCCAATTATTTTGGTATCTGCTTTTTATAAAATGCCATCTGGCCTTTGCACTTGGTGACAAGGAGACAACATAAACACATACTTGATTGTCCATACGTGAACTGAATAGACAAAGCACCAGGGCCTGGAAATAGACTGGAAAAAAATGATTGGTCACTGACCACAATGCCCAGCAGCGTCTTATCCACATAATTCTGAAGTTTCCTAGTTTGGCTTTATATAATTACACTTGATCAATGATGTTAACTATACTGTGATTCTATAAGATTTAAACTATGTCATTGGGAACTGATGTAATTTAATTAAACTATAGTTAGTTAAATTTGTATATATTAACCATTGAAAGCAAGGCTACCCCTGCAGAAGCGTGCAAACAATAATATATATTCATCTCTGAGATAGGACAGCTGCTAATATTCTGATGTATAAACCTTGGGTGGTTTAATAAAAGACATTCAACATTAAACATAAAACATAAAGTTGAAATTCTTTGTCTTCTAGCTCCTGTTCTTTTCCTTTCTTAGCCTAATACAGACTCAATATCATTGTAAATAAAAGAATAATTTTTGCTCCCCAGACTATATATAAGCAACTTCAATGAGAAATATGCAGTATATGTGGGTATGCTCTTTAGTTTGTCATATACTTTTGTTTTCTATTCATCATACTTTCCCTTTGACTCTTATAGTCTTATTTCTTTTGATAATTAACCAAAGTATTGTGTTCTACCCCAAATAGAAGAAGTCGTGCTTTTCTGCTCCATTCTATTTCATTTAATTAGTGAAATAATTAATTTTTTTTAAAAAACGGAAACTTGTATTGAAGTGGAATGATGACCTTGCCGTCGCCAAGGAAACAGCCTAATCCTACAGATACTGATGTGTGTAGACTCATGTTTATGTTTTTCTGATCTATTTAACCATCTTCTTATCTTGTTTGTCTTCCAGATTTATTCAGGAGATTGAACATGCTTTAGGACTTGGCCCGGCCAAACAGTGTCCCCTCCGAGAGTTTCTTACCATGTATATCAAAAGCATCTTCCTTAATCAGGTCTTGGCTGAGATCAACAAGGAGATTGAAGGAGTCACCAAAACAGCAGACCCCTTGAAGATCCTTGCCAATGCAGACACCATGAAGGTTCTGGGAGTGCAGAGGCCTCTTCTACAGGTAGTAAGAAGAAAATAACTTACTCTTTTCCTAACTTTTAAAATGTGGTATGTATGTATGCATGTATGTATGTATGCATGCATGCATGTGTACCACTTGTGTGCCTGGTACATGCACAGACCAGCAGAGGGTGTTGGATCTCAAATGGTTGTAAGCCACATAATGTCAGTTGTAGGAATCCAACCCATGTTCCCCGGAAAGCCAGCCAGTGTTTTTAATCACCAAACTATCTCTCCAGCCCCAGATTACAGTTCTTAATCACCATTTTCTAATGACTTGGCAAGAGTCATAACTATGGAAAAAAGAACTACCATCTGGTTCTCTATTCAATAAGGACAAAACAAAAGGAAATAAATGAAATAGACACTAGGGAAATTTAGGTCTGATACAGTTTGGATAATGGAAATTCCTAAGATCGTGAAAGGAATAAAAAGTTTTGATTTGACTATGGGAGATGGTGGATCTCATTGACATTCAGGCAACTCTTTGCTTCTTGTCTAGAATCTGTCATTGAAAGAATTGTTTTTCCAGAGTAGGAAGGATCAGCAGGAAGGAACGTAGTTACCCTGTGTAACCTCAGTTACCAGCGGGAAGCCAGTTCCCCAAACCAATTTTAGGTAGTTAGTGTAAATAACTTGACTAGCTTAGAGAGTCTGAATCAGGAAACTGGCTGTTAAAAGTCAGATCATTTAATTCAAGTAATGATCTTGTTAATATTGAACATTTTTCCTTGAAGATACGGTTTCTAGGCAATAGAAATTACCTGACAATAGATGTTTTTGTTCATAGCCCTGTGGTAGATATTTTATATACATTTTAGCTTATGACATGATGATAAATAGAAAAGAAAAAAAACATGGGTTTGATTTATGGATATACTTTGACAATTGCATTAATCTTGCTTTAAGAAGAGCAAAATCAGGGTGTGGTGTTGCACACTATTGATTCCAGCAGAGGAAGGTGAATCTCTGTGATTTTGAAGCCAGCCTGGTCCACATGGTGAGTTTCAGACCATCCAGGGGCTACATAGTGAGACTCCATCTCAAGAAAAGAACAGTGAACACAAAACATTGTTCCATAAATTACACAGTATGTGGGGCTCCGGGTGTAAAAGACTTGAGCTCTTTGACAGAGCGGTGTATGTGGAAGGGTTATACTTGCTTCAGTTAGCTTTTTAGCTGTGCTGCCTAACCAGGTATGTCTGTGTACCTTAGAATTTAGAGACATGCTAGTAGCACCTCAGCAGCGTGTCTAGTTTTACACAACTCCGTGTGATGAAGAAAAGAGGAACTGGAAACATCATAGGGGAGTTGTTCATGTGCACTGTCTGGTGTTGCCACGGATGCTCTTGCTGAAGGGGCTGCGCTAAGTTTGGTGTGCAGAGAGTGGGTGCCAGAGCTGTGTGTTCACTGTTCACTGTCCCTTCTGGGTTGCTGCTCCACTGATGAGACCTTCTCCCTGAATCGTAGTATCCCATACCAACTGGAAGGCTTTTCACGCTGCTACCTAACGAGGTCCCCTCTTTTTATTTTCTCCATTCTTCCTTCCCCTTCCCTATGTATTTTCAATGCTGAGGTCGATCCCTATGTACTATACCACTGAGACTTTCTTGCCAACGGGCTTCTGACTGTGTTCTTCTAGGAGGAAACACCATCAGGACCCCAAAGGCCAGAGGAAAAAGAGGCTGATTGTTTCTTCCTCCCTACTTGGGATTATGAAGCTTCCTCAGTAGCTGGATCTCCTGCTCTCTCTGGGCTCTGATAAGTTTCTTCTCCTCACTCCCTGATTCCTTCTTTCTGCTATTAGTAGTCTTTGTATCCTCAACACTCCTAGTTACTTTTCTCACCCCTGACCACACATCCTCATTTGAATTTCCTGCATGGCGCACTTTATATCAGGATCCAAACTCAAAATCTCCATTGACCATTCCCTTAGTCTTTTCTGCTTGCTTGCTTGCTTGCTGTAACTTCAAATTGAACTCAGGACCTTACACAAGCAAGTCGAACATTCTAGCACTGAACTACACTCCCAGGCCCAACACTGGGTTTTTCCTTCTTTTTTTTATTTTTTTCCTTTTGGTTTTATGAGACAAGGTTTCTCTGTATTGTTTTGGAGGCTGTCGGTCCAGCCTGGTCTCGAACTCACAGAGATCCGCCTGCCTCTGCCTCTGCCTCCCGAGTGCTGGGATTAAAGGCATGCGCCACCACCACCCGGCCCTTCTTAACATTTATCACAGATACAGTTACCACTTGTGCTATCATTTCCCACTAGGAGGTAACTTCCTAAAGCCTAGCACAGTGTTGGCAGCAGGAAGTAATTATGCATGTTACCAAATGCATGTGTGCATAAGTGGGTCAATAGATGAATAAACTCAATGAATAATTTCAAAATGGAAAAAAAAACCTGAGACAGTGACTGTGAGTTGTCTGACCATGAGTTTCTTTTCCATCAAGAGCCCATTGAATATCTATTATCCTGAAATGCTATGCTATATTATATGGAGTGAGCAACTTTATCATATACCATATATGGAGTTTAAGGAAACTCCATGCTATCAAGGAAATCTGTGAACTGAAGACTCACCTTATTGAACATGATCATTTTGAGCTTAGGTAGCAAGCACAGGTTGAGAGTTAAGTCTGGTCCATTTTGAACCATACACTGCCTGCTAAATGTCACCTCTGGCCAGTCCATGGTGTGCCTATCAGCTCACTCTGAAACTTGTGTAGCATCACTTTGCATTCATAGCTCTCTTTTGTCCTTCAAATCAATTACTCCAATCTGGGCTAAGTAAGAGTTCTACTTTATTTGTGATTTTTTTTACCGTATCAAGACATAATTCCACATAAATGAGTAAATCTTAAGACCAAAGCCATTCCAGCTAATAACATCCAAGTATATGCTCAGCTAAAATACCTGCTTTGTTATATGCTAATAGTCTTGCCTTCTTTTGTACATTAAAATTGTATTTTTGAAGATGCAAAGTTCTAAGGGATATGGTCATTTAGTCTGTCTACTCGTCTCTGAGATACAGGGTTTCCATCCTGAAAACTTCTCTCTTTATAACAATTGTAAATTATCTTCTAACACAGTTTTCCATGCTAAAATTTCAGTGTTTCTTAAAGGTATCTCCATGTCTACTTTATATTTTTTATTTCTAGCTAGTTGCAGATAGCTTATGTGGGAATAAGTGGTGATTGCATCTTAAAAATGTTGACTGGGAATGTAAGAGAGATGCAGTTGGGGAAAGTGTGCAGTTACATGAAGCATAAAAAGTTGCCTGGACTATGCTAGGTCACAGGAGAGCAGAGCATGCGCTCTTCCCCTGTGGCAGCAGCTGTGTCATTTGTCATCAGCCCAGTTGGGTTTTCCAGGGAGAAGGAAGGACAGTTGTCTATGTGCTGCTTTCATTCATTTGATGATGGGCAGATGAAATGTCTATTGTCCTGTGAGAAGAACCCCAGGTCTGCCTTTGCTGCCCATCCCCAACATGGCAGCTAAGCAGCCCAGACATCATGTCATCAGGAGAAATATCTGGGAGTGCTAACTTGCACTTGCACTGATGATTTTACTTTCTGTGGCAAATTCCTTGGAGGGAAGAAAGGGGGTTAATAGGAAGAAAAACTAAGACCCAGTTTATGGGAGAAATTCTGTGAGAGAAGTGGTCCTCAATGACATAGCACAGCAGAACAAGAAGTAATGACAGAAGTAATATCAGTAATGATAGCAATCGGCACATTAGCCCTGTTGACTAGGAGCCAGACACTCTTCAGGGTGCTTTACATGAACCGACTTATGTATGCTGTGATTGTATGATAAGAACTTTGATTGTCTTATGAAAAGAAACTGAAAACAATGGAATTAAATTACCAGCCCAGAGTCTTCTGGCTTGCAAAAAGAATACTAGTTCACACCCAGGAAGTCTTGTCCTGAGCCCTGTTTTCTACCATAGTTTGCAAATCATACTCAGAGGATTATGGTTGTCTGCAGACTACCTAATACTTTTGTGCCATCAGACACAGATTTGAGAATGAACCTTTAGACACCTTAATTTCTTCTTAGTACTTTGACATTGTCTGTGAATTTAGCAAATTAAAACTTATATCTTAGGTATTTCTAGGTCTTGAATTTCTTTTTCTGATAACTCATTTTTATTGTATCTCATAAAAGCATATATTCACAACAGATTGTGGGGATGCTGGGCTGTTGCCATAGTTAGAGGAGCATTGCTCCAGATCCTTTACTGTCCCACACTGCCTCCCAGAGAGTGAAGGGAAGGACCATCTGCTTCAGCCCTAACACATTTACGACAGAGAGCATGGGTATTGGATACCATTGTTTCTCTCCAAAATCTCTAGTTCCAGAATAGACCTAGACTAACTAGAATATCTAATAATATTCCTATAAATACTGTTATTTTTATTTGTGTGAATGTGTCTCTCTGTGTGCACATGCATGTATGTGGGTATGCACATGCAGATGTGTGCACACACCACGGTGCATATATGGAGATTAGAGGACAACTTGCCAAAGTTGGTTCTCTCCTTCCACCATGTGGGTCTCGAAGATTGAACCAGGTCATCAGACTTTGCAGCAAGGGCCTTTTCTCTCTGAGCCATCTTGCTAGTCCCAATATTCAATATTTAACAAATGGATGAGTGAACCAGTAGATGAAAATATGCTTTCTGCAATGCATGGGCATATGTGGCTGTACTTTCCTCTCATGACACAGTATTTCTGGTCTCGAGTTTCAAAACCCACACATTGTTAAATTAGAATGCCATGGTTCTTTACCCGCGGTATTCCCCTGTAAGCGCAGAAATGGGTGTGACTCATCTAGCCTTCTGAGAGATTTCCTTTGCCACTCACTTTTTCTGCAAAATGGCTTCAACTCTTGCAATGCCAAACTTGTTGGCTCAAGCTAAACTAAGGAAGTCTCATCAAAAAATTCCTCTTTTGTTCTGAGCCGTATTTTGGATGTGGAGCTTTGAAGGTCTGTA